AGTATCGATAAGCACTCCGGAAGACGGAGCTCGGATTGAAAGGAAGCTCATTGCTGGCCGGATTTTTCGAGTCTGCGTCGAGTTTTAAGCATGGGAAGCTCCTCCGCATCGACCTGCTTCGGCCGATTGGGTAGGGTTCATCATCGAGGTGAACGGTGAACCTTCCGGAAGAATTCGCGACTACCAAGATCTTGAAGTTATATCGATGTCCCGGCCCTGGAAGATTGGCTGCTTACCTTCGCCCGGCGATTTACTCTGCATGTTTCTCTCGATCGACGAGGCGTGGCTCAGCGGTTTGAAAGCAATCCCTCGGAAGAGATGTTCACGAAGCCAACGAGAAAGCACCGCGTGTCGTTGCCCTCGCTGTCCGTGCTTATTCCGGTTCTATCAATCGGGGCCGAGGTGCGTGTCTCGCGCTCAATTCCCTCATGAGCGGCGATTTCTGGCTTCCCGTTCATTCATTGGGCACAGACCGCTCGGGATTCATCGGGTACCGTTGGGAGAGGCAGGGAGAGCTTATTTTGAGATATCGACATTTCACCGTCAGATTGCGAAGCCCGAGCGAGTTCGTCGCGGCGAATTCTCACCAGGAGCGCCACCGCTATCTATGATTTGGACCGATTGCCTTTATCGTTCTTCTGATAAGCATACGCGAAGATACTCGGACGGGGAAGAGTCCTATTGAGAGTTCGAGCACACATCACGATGTCGGCGGGGAGGGTGTAGCTGTTCCAACCACAGAAGAGACCCGATCATAAAAGACCAGGGTAAAAGTATGGGCTGAGAGGTCTGCTCCGAATATTTCATGGCCGGGAACGAGCCATCGAATTGCGCCCCCGGTGTTCCACGATTGCTGCCCATCTCAAGCTTCGCTTGTTATCTCTCTCCTTCACATTCTTACTCAAAGCGTAATTTCTGCGAAGTTCTGAGCATTCGAAGGGCCCCGCGCTCCAACTTCATTCGAATCGACGCATCGGGTTTTCATTACATGCATAAGCAGCGCATAAAACCGGCGGCGCGAAGGTATTATTGGAAAGATCTCAGACCTGGGGTACTATGATATTCGGGGATTGGACGGGGAAGTCTTGGAATGGGCGCTTTTGGAGCTTGCAATCTTCGTCCAGACGCTGTCCTTGGGTTTCACGTCGGATATCCTTCTCCAAGTACACTTCTCCTGAATGAGCCGTTAAGTACCTGCGATAACCGAATAGTGTTGGAAGGTGGAAATTAGCATAGGGGAACTATCCGGAAACAATAACTATACTCGCAGTCGGAATCGACTACGAAACTTCAGCTGAAATGGGGAAACAGCATCAGTAATCCGCAGGAAACCAGAAAATAGCAGTCTTACTCATCGCGGACGCAGTCGCTGTCGAATTTATGATCTCCCGACAAGGATGACTCGAGGGAAGGGGCGATGGGCTGGGGGGATTCTCGTCAAGATCCTTGATGGAGAAGAAAGTAAACACAAAAACAATGAGAGTATCTTCCCCGAACTCGGTCGGAGTCTCCCTCATCGGTCATAGCCTCTCCCTCTCATAAAGGCCGTGGCGGCAATCTCAATTTTACGACACTCAGGAGCCTTGAAGAAATGGGTGACACGGAGAGCAAGCGAGCTCTTACCGAAACCTCCGTCATACCTGAAGAGGTCACAGATGATTACGATGACAGCCGTCGACCTCACTGAAGGTCGCAGTTCCGGGAGCTGGTTTGATGGAGCAGTCTCCAATCTTCGAGCAGATAGATTCTCTTCGCAACGGATCACCTCTTGGGATACAGAATTTGGAGACAGTGGACCTCGGTAATCTTCCAATGATTAAAACCATCGATGGAACAGTAGCAACCTCGTTCTCCTTGCGCTTCTCCTATCGCCGACCCGACCGCAGCGAGTATGACGTCATCGGATTGTCGATTCTCATCTCTGGGTTAAGGTTACGGCTTTCATCGCCGACCGGACTGTATTACTGCCGGCAAATGTTGATGCTGCTGTCGGCGGATAGACCCATCCTATGTATCCGCGACGGCCAGTGAGAATGAGTGCTGGCCGGCGAGTAGCTTGCTCGGATGTATAGATAGATGGCCGGTCGGCCGCCCGTGTGGCCAGCCAGCAGTTTGTGCGCGGAGCGCTCACGGACAGAATGATTTGATGGTGAGCTAGCGAATCCGTCGCCGCCTGTTTGGCAGCAGAAACACCGGCGCAATGTGGATCAGTCTCGATCTGTGGATTATTGGTTTATACGTTTTGTTTTCCCTATGGCGTGACGTGCGCAAGATCTTCGATTTCGCATGGGTAGGTATGTTCCCTCGATGTACCGAATCCGTACAAGTACGGAAATGTCATATACTCGCGCGTGACATACGACACTGTTTTCTCATGCCCTCTCCCCGCAGACTGATCGAAGACTAGAACAGCAAGATATTCCCGAGTCGAATTTTGATATTTACGGTCATCCATCACGTCTGTAGATTATTCAAGGCATCCGAGGGATATGCCGAAGTCCATAGAATATGTTTATGACGGGAAAATTCTGAGGGCGATGGCAGGCCCCTCAGGGCTCCAGCGACGTCGCGGGATAGTTTCATTTGGCCATTCCACGGTTCTTTCGCGACTTGATTTCCCTCTGTGTCCGGATCGTTCCTTAGTCAGGTATTTCATACGAATAGCGGAGCAGCGTCTGCTCGAACGCTCTCGTCGGATAAGAATGGATATTTATACGTGGAGCGGAAGGTGGTCTCGACGTGTTTTCGCGAGAGTTGTGACTTCGAATGAGGGAGGCATCTGTGCGCGGTATTGAAGAGGGAAACAGCAGCTATTCCGGGTAACATCCGATCGACAGAAATGCTCGATTTACCGTGATATTTTGAGCGTAGTGCTTGTTCCTTATCCGCGAGGGATGCTGACCATTCCAGGTTTCTTTCTCGGATCTCATCGGATTCTCTTTGGAGAGACGCGGTCGTCCGATTCCGGGGTATTTTCAAGTTTTCATGTACCGTCTTCTCAGAGCAGTCGCAACGAAAATTCGCTTTTCGCCCGTGAGCGGACGACTTGAAGCCTGTGCGGGCATCTATCGATCCCGCCTATAGGAAAATACTCCACTCACTTCGGATGACGCGTGACGGGCGCACGCGACCGCTCCCCGATCTCGTGGAGCGGGCCACAAGAATTCAGACGGGAAACATGCTCTCCTAGCAAGATTCAGTCCCTAGTCGAAGAAAAACCACTTAGTTAGTTAATTATTTACACATCGATTCCCATTAAGCACAAAACATCTTATGAAGAAGCGAAAGTCGGGGTTGAAGGTCGATGGGTCAAAAATTCATTTTGACTTCTTCCTTCACCCCGATAGATAGAGCGACCAGCAGAAGTTCTTGCATGATCATGAAACGTCTTCGAACGCTTGGGGCGGTCCCGATTTTTTACCATTCGGTCAGCTGCTCCGATCCCGTATCCTCCAGAGCGATCGCGATACTGCAATCCAAAGGGAGTTGATCGCGTTCTGAGTTATTTTTCCGTTGTTGACTGTCTCTTCGATGGAGTTAAGCTCTCGATGGGCTTTCTTCTGCTGCGGTCAGCAGAATCCCCGCTCCGCGAGGGCCCCGAGATCGTCGACAAATGTCCAAAATTAGAGCGATATCGAATTTCGGGAAACTATGTAAACAGAGTTTTCCGCTCTACTCGGTCCGTCAAGCCGGCGAAAGCGTCGTTCGACTCCCCGTCGTTGACGAATCATCGGTTTCTGGCCGTCTTGCATCCATCACAAGGGATGTGTCCCGAGTGGTTCCGACGTTTTCCTTGGAATTGGCAGCACGTTCTCCGCCTTGCAACGTTTCTGTCTTCTGTAGACGCTGTGAGCACTGAGCAAACGTGAGCCAAAGTCTCTCGGTCTCCCGCCGTTGTGGGTCAACAAAATCCGCCAACTAAAAGCCCGTTTGGATGCCTGTTCAACACTCGATGTTCGAGGCGGATCGGAACTTCCAAGGCCGTCTTCGGATTTAGCCGACTTCCGTACTGGCGAGGGACGAAGAACACTAGATGTTTCTGTCGAATGGTATCTCTTAGCTGGTTGACTCGATCGAGCTACGACAGCCAAATCGGATTCCATTCTCAGTGTGTGCTCAGGCTTCCCCATTGTCTGAGTTGATTTGTGCGGATACATGCATTAATCTCCCGTGCTGCACAATGGCACGATTACTCGGAATGGATGGTCGAAGTCGGAACGCTCTCTCAAAACGGGAGACAAACGTCAGCGGCGCTGCCGCTTGCGCCGCCGATTTCCGCGATGCATCGCGGAATTCCGTCGTTTAAGACACAAGATTACCCAGGAAATTGGAAAACGGGTACCTGACGTCGTCGTTTGCATGCAACGAACATCAGTGAAACATTTTCCAGCGCTCCGCTCCCGCCGCTGAGGCTACACTCAACGAATTCTCTCTTCTTTCAATGTTGAATGTTGCGGCCAGAAGTATTGCTGAACTTCGGGAAGCGGGTTGCGCGTCTCTTTTCCTCTTGAATAACTTATCGCATGCGTCGGAACAGGTGAACATCGTCGGGAGGGAACGGTGGTTTAGTTGGGAACTCCAGGCGGGATACGATACGATTACGCGTGGATGAGCACGCTAAATCGAGTTCGTTGACTCAGTAAACTTGGGAATGGCACACGAGCAGCAGAAATTCCGTCTCCCTCATGATGAATTGTCCCTGCCATTCCTCACGCGAGTAAACACCGGAATATCTAGCCGCGAGATCCCGAGATCGACTACCCCTTGCGTCTGGTATTTGCTCTACGATCAACTTTCGAACCTACGGGTGAACTCATTCATAGTACAGAGCCGTAAATAAAACATTTCTCGGGGGCTCGAAGTCTCCGGACTGTTCCGTCATTTTCGGATGGATGCTCTTTTTCCTTTGGATCGTTTTTGACATGCGCCTCATATCCACCAGCCGTCCACTGTCCTCTGTGATTCCGCACAATTCTGAATGGACCTTTCGGCTGCTCAGAATGCCCTTCGCAGAAGTGGGTAGATGCTATTTTCGCGAGCTGCCGCCGCCGGTGCTGCGCGAGCGAATCAAATGTCACCGCCCGGGACCACGTTCTATAAATCACGGTCGACTCTGCACTCCCTCAGATAAACAAGCCGCTTATACGCCCTATTCAAACAGCCCGAAGCTTCTTATCTGCTCCGAAGTGTTCCGAGAACGCGTTCATGGCCGAGAATCGTGAGACCGATACAGTAGTCTCAATGAGCTCGGCCGGAGCGTTCGAGTGAATCTCTCGATCTGATCCCGACCGATTCGAAAAAGTCTTCGTCCTCAGCACAGATGGAAGTCGCGAGTCTTTCTCGTTGGTGGAGTTCTAACACTCGAATTCATTTCCAGGTGCCTGCCGCCGGGTCCTCGACTGTCGCGTCCCCAGTCTCCCAAGACATCCACTCCCACTGTGAAAATTGCATCAACGTCTCCACGTGTAAGGACTCCAGCTGCCCCATCGTGCCGTGCGACTGTGGTCACAAACTCCACCAGTGCAAGCTACAAGACCACGCGCTGCTCTGTCGGGAAGCGAATTTTAAAGTAAGTGATTATTTCAGTTGGAAACAACACTCCTCAATTAAGCCAACAGAACTCCGGCCTAGCTCCGGTGGCCAAGAAAGCACGAAGCCGTGAAAGTTCGCTCTACTCTCTCAAGGCAGGCGTTCCTTCTCGAGGTTTTCGGATCCGTGCATACTATTGTGTCCCTCGACGTGAGCGCGGAGCGATAATTCCCTTAGTTGGGCAGAGTTCGGATCCCATGTCTTAATTTCGCAATGACGGTTCTGCGGAAGGAGACGTCACGGTTCGTCCATTTTTCGCTCAACGTCGCGGAAACGCAAGTCTTAGAGTTCAGCTTAGATTCCTCATAGCGGGACATTTATCACCTAATTAGGAGTGTGGAGAGACACTTAATTAGAGACGGTTGGGACACTCGCTCTAGAACCGTGTGAGAGTAGATCAGCTGGCCGCTCATTACGCTCACAAAGTAACGCTTCGTAGGATTCCTAAGAGCTCGGCTCGAAACAATCGGTGCACCGATGCTCTCGTCGGACGGTGAGGCGTTCTGTCGCTACCTCCGTGAGCACATGATTCACTTTCGTTGAGAGCAGAGAGCGTACGGATAATCACCAAATCAATGGGTTCTATCAGTGAATCCTCAGGAGGCTCGATACGATGACGTATGAATCATCAGGGTGCTGACAATGAATCGGGACTTCCTTTCCCCGCCCCCGTCCGTCTCTCTAATGAGCACTCCCTCCTCCTGCACCATTGATCGGGAAGCTATGTAGGAACTCTGGTTCCATCCGCTCCGAGATGGCACTATGTGGAGGAAGATGCAAGAAATTTCCGATATCCACGAATGATGCATCGGAGCTCGATTCCTCTCAAAGCCTCATTGTGCTCCTCGAGACTCGAGACCAGCATGAAAGAGAGGAAATTCGGGACCGGGAACATCTCAGTATGGTTTCGGGAACTCCTCTGTTCATCCGCTTTTTATATGTGTCATCACTTGTTTATTACGCCGCCCGTCTTCCCATTACGTCGAGCGTGTTTGGCTCTCCTTGTCGAAGCCGTTCGGTCGGGTCTATGGAGATTCCTATTTTCTGTGGCGAAGAAACAACGGATCCACGAGAACAGAAGAAAATATCTGCAGACGGAACTGGCTGGGAAAATAACGAATCTCTCTATAAGCGGCATTCATTGCAGCTTGGCTGCTCCCGTTTCCGTTGTGCTCGCCTCCTCGGAGATGACTCTCTCAGATCGCTCCCATCGCCAGGAAATATGTATGTGTTGGGGAACAAGCTGGCTGGCGCTATCAGCCTACGCAGACTAGCCAACTCATCTTTCAGTTTACCCACGGCTTTGATAGCAGCTGCTCGCCCATCCGTCGCCGCGAAGTTCCCCAAACAGCTGAAGTTCCGAGTCACGACACAGAAGTCTGAGGCGTCCATCTCCCCTTGACGAAATCTGTGGCCTCCGAATGCTCACGTCGAGGGGGAGAAGCTCCGTAGCGAGCGCTACCTCGAAAAACGCCTCGTTCGTCCGAATGACTTATGGTCGCGAACAAGCAATTCGGACTAAAATTCATCGCATTCGTCTGGCTGGAAAACTTCGTCCCTCCGATCTCCCGCTTGTTGACGTCGCGCGATTTCTTTGTTTCGAATTCTTGGAAACGCCGCCCGGCCCCGAGCCTGTCGAGTTTCGCTTCACGCCGTGTGAAATGTTCACTATTGAATCTTCCCTTGGAAATGTCTCCCCGAATTGTCTCTTACGGAGTTAACGCTCCGGAATACGTGAATCGCTCGCGCCCATCCCCCGCCGGATGCAGTTTTCAGCGCTTTAGTTTCTGGGAGAAATAGTTGCAACGCCCGTAACGACAAGAAAAACTGGAAATTCACTCCGTTCCATTGCCTCGAGGGATACGATTCCCGGTGAGAGCGATGCACGTTTAATGGTTTCTGACGATTTCTGATTTCTCCGCTTGAAGTGTCGAAGTCGATTCCGTTCTACTTCTGCGAGGAGCCGACAGCGATGATTTCCACTGGGAAAGCTCAATGAGCTCCATGTAGGAGAGCCGATCCCTTCCCTACTCATTACGACGACGCGGAGAAATCACTCGACATCACTTGCGTCCAGCAAAGTAGTTCGACACGGGACGCCGGCCATAGGATCTTCGGCGTGTCTGGGCGCGTGGGAGCTCATGCTTTTGCGCGCTTTTATGTCTCCCCATCCATCTCTCGCGGTGCTACTCCAAGAACTCCGCTTGTAGATAGGGAAGCGGCAGCAGTGTGAGCGGCGAGTACGAGCAGACTGGTTGGTTAGGTGAGGTAAAGAATGAGAAAAGCGGCAAGATGCTCGTCTCGCGGCCGCCAGGGGGGAAATGAATTTTTAGCCGGAGTTATAAATTTTTTACTTGAATATAGCTTCTCGGGGCCGCTGCCGGGCCGAGAGATCGAGCAGAGAATGAGAGCTGGAAGCCCGCTACTGATACTCTTCAAGGTGTTTAATTGTGTGAATGTCGGTTGGGCAACGCGTAAGCTTATCCGTGGGGCTCACGAGCTGGGCTTGTCCGACGAGCGGCGATACGAGCACCGAACAATCAAAGCGCTTTGATCCGACGAAAACGTCAGCGATAGCGGCCGCAGTGCTGGCCAGCGTTCACTGAATGTGAGCAGCGGGAGGAGGGAAAACGGAGCATCGCGGAACCACGAACTTGATTACTATCGGAGGGAGGCGGTCACTGGAATCTTTTTTCTCCTCATTACATTTAGTCACGTCAGCCTGATTCTGTTGTCTCTCTCTATGCTTGAGTTCGTTGTATGCTGGAGCGAGAAAGAACTTCCTGGAAAGTGACACGATTCTCGGATAAGGGAGATGCGAGAGCGAGCGATAAAATTGCGTGAGTTTGGCGAACAATATCAGGAGAACAGGTGTGGAAATCTTCACCAAGCCCGGACTCCCACGTTGAGAGAGTCGTTCGCAGGCGGGGTTCTCGATGTTCGTGTGACGAACTCTCGATAAAGTGATGGCTCAGCTTTTGCGCTTCAGTTCATTGGTCATGTTTGGCAAGCGCTGCTGAATCAGTCAAGGGGGATTTCTCCGTTCCTCAATGAATGAACTTCGGAAACTCGAGCTTGGACATGCGAGCGATGTCAGCTTTTCTTGTATGACCTCACCCCGGGCGCTTTCTCGATCCAGGGAGCGTTAATCGCCGAACGTTCCCCCAAATCCTCCCGAGACCGATACCTACCCAGGTTTCCGAGATCTTCCGAACTACCAAATCGTTATTGACCTTCCTCGTTGACTCATTTTGACTGAGCTGGAAGCTCGACTCATCGTATCGGAGATTCTGTGTGATCCGAAAACACCGCCCGACTCCACGGAGTTCTCAGCCGACAAGCAGCTCACGAGCAGCTGGATCACATGGGTCAGCATCTGGACCCTTACGCGTGGTAGTGTGATCTGTAGCCGCTCAGAGGAGATTCGGAAGGTCTGCGTCTGCGGGAACTCCGATGGGAATCGCGAAGATTCACTGCGTTGGGCAAGGAGGAAATCGCGCTCGAGACGCCGGATGCATAGCCCCGATCTCTTCGCCTGATGCCGGAGAGATCGAGAGAAGTCTTCTAACTTCAATCAACACTCCTTCGATTATCGTATTATCTCTTCTCCTAATCCCTGACAGGGGTTCAGGTCGGATAACCGTAGGGGAACCCTCACCAATAGCTCTGGCGAGACAGAGACTGTTTTATTGTGGATCCGGAGGTCTCTGCGGATTCCTTCGATTCGCTTCCCAACGGTCAGTCCAAGCGAGCTGGACCGTGGAAAATGGGAAGGGGAGGAATAGCTCAACGATTTATCACAAAGTGCTCCACACGGACCGCTCGAGTTGATTCAATGTCGGCTCCGTTCGGGCGAGAGAATCAAGGGTAAGAAGGAACGATTCAGGCGTGAGATGCCAAGGTCATCGTCGTCGACCTATTCTTAGAGTCCCGTGTGGAAGCATCGGAGCGTTACTGAGGTTGCTTCCCCGGATGTCATCGTGACGGGCATTCCTTTCGTCCGGAGCTCCCTGCCGAGACTACTCTACAATCGCGAGCTCTCTCGCTCGAGAAACTAAAGCAAATATCCACCGAGAGACTAGCGGCGTTGGTGGATAACGAACGATGCGTTCCCCGACGAGCCATCACACAGTTAACTCAACGGTGTAGGCGAGAGCTATTGGAGCGAAACTAGCTCTGGGACGCGTAATGAACTAGAGCGCTCATTCGACTCCGGAGCTCATTGTCGGCACCGGTCGTCGTGGAAGTGATATCTTCGTTAAGTCCTCTTAGTTCTGCGGTTCCGCTCGAGCATGCCCTCCAAAAGCGCAGAATTCCGGGAGTTTGTTCAGTTCATATGTCATGGAGTCCGACGGCGACGGGGCGCCTGCCAGGCTCCCGGGAATATCGGTTGATTCTCGGCTGTCAGATGATTTCTATCACGAGACGTGACTTGGAAACCACCGCTCCCGCTCGTTACGCGGGAAATATAACCGTAACTGACTGTCGCGGTAGGTATTTTCGCCGTCCGCGAGTGGGTCGAAACGATCAATGCGGCAATGTTGGTCTCGTGGGCTGGGGCGGAGAAGTTTTGCTGAAACGAGGGATCCGGATGGGCTGAAACGCCCGATTTCGTAAATGGAGCGACGAATGGCTGATCGTCGCTGATATCCTCGCGCGCAAATGCATTGCCATCGTGTCGGAATATATATGTATGTATATGTACAATACGTGTGAGCCTGCGGCGACGTCGAACTGCGCCTGTGGCGGGTCGTCTTCGTCCGTGACATTTGGGACTCATTATCGTTTACTGCCGTCTGGCAGCTGATTCGCTGATTCGACGGCTCTCTCCATCTGCCTGAACACCTGCTCTGGCTCGGAGGCTGTTCATTTATGTTTATTTGTTTCGTTGCAGGTAAGAGAGGCGCTCCTGTCTCGAGTGTGTGGCTCGTATCGGACGCAAGGGTTTGCCCGCTGCTCGAATAAACCGGCGTGGAACAGTGAAGTTTCAACAGGTTCTAACAGCATGTCGTCGCCTTCGCATCTGGGCACCGGTTGTGCATCTCAAGACTACCTTCCGACTTCGACGCCTCCGACGTCACCTCTCGATCTTTCCTCTCCTTCCCATACGACTACCACTAACACTAACACCTCATGTGCCGCTGGTAAACGCTTCCTGCTCGACGATGCGGAGATGGACGTGCTCGAGGCTCTCGCGAAAGACAACCCTGATCTCTTGACGCACGGAGTCAATTTGGACATCGAGGAGACGATTACTTGCTCTCCGGAGGATGAGACACCACCGGGACTCCAGGATTCCGACATGATGTCGCCGTCTTGCGAGCACGTCGGCTCCCTGCCGAACGCTTCCTCCGACCGGGACTCGATACCCAGCGTCGAGATATTTTGCGTTGAATCCGACGAAACGCAGAAACGTACCGATAGCTTAGTTGAATTAGGAGAAAATATTGTCGCCGAGGCTGTCCAGCTGGCCAAGGCCACCGTCGAGGACATGCTCAGGCTCAAACGGGAGCAACAAGAGGCGTTGTCGATGGACAAGTCGGACGGAAAGGCTCTGGAACAAAAACAAACCTCTGAACTGCTCGACTCGTTAATGAAGGAAGCCCCGAAACCCGCAACACGGTATTCGCTCGCCGCCGAGGAAGCCGACTCGCCATCGGACGAGCCAGATAACAACGAACCCGACTCGGAGCAACTGCTGGACGACGCATCGCTGTCGCAGCACGGCCCCGACGAGCCCGAGACCATCAGTGAGGAGTCGTCTTCCTGTTTGGAACCTATCAGGATCCAAGCTGCTAAGTCGCCCACGCTGGAGGACATTCCTGATCTGCCCGATGATCGGGAGAGAAACAGAGTCATCCACGAACTGGTCGAAGCCGAAGACAGCGAGGCCGATGATCAACCTCATCTTCGACCCCAGCAGCAGCAGCACCGAAATCATCGACGAGGAGTCACAAACAAAACTACCGACAGCGTAGACATAGACGACGATGACGATAGTCAGAACTCTGACACCGAGTCGCACTCGCCGTCGCCCGTAGACAGATACGTAAGTCGCACGGCAACTGACGAAGATGGATGATATTATTCGAGACATTTAGGCCTCCTGGAGAGTGAAACCGCGCGAAGACCGTAGGAAGGAACGAGTTCACAGCGGATATCAGACGCCGGGGTATCCTCCGGTCGGTGCCGGAAGTTCTGAACGAATCTCCTTTGATCCGTCTGCTTTGGTTGTCGAGTCGGTGTATGAGTTGCTGAAAACTAGGATTCCGCCTGCTTCGATGAATTTCTAACTCTAGCATGTATTGAGGCATCAAGAGCATCCGAGTTCCGGGGTGGCGTGCGATGGTGTTCCCTCCAAGAGAGGGAGAGCGTTTCTTCCTCCCGAACGGAAACGAAATGCCCTAACGGCTGTGACGATCACGCGAATAACACCTCCGACTATCGCTAATAATAGTGGTTTCTCTAAAAGCGAAAAAAACGATCTTTCAGCACTGCACCGGAACGGTAGTACGCAAAGTGAAGAAAACGGAAACAACCACCACTTCGAGCAAGATGACTGCGGGAACTGAGGGAGCGCCCGCTCCGTCGAACAAGGTTGGTGCTTAAAAATGGCTTCGGAGTCAGTAGAGAGGAAGGAAAACACTTTATAGGAATGAGGAGCATTATACTTTTTTCCCCTGTCATCCTCGGTCCTATCCGAGGGACGCATAGTTTCAGCACCGGTATCGGAGATAAAAATTCATAGGTAGACTGTTTCGCGACTTCGATCTTGATCTACCGTGAGGAGCAAACGAGACCGCTTCACCGCTCGAGCACGTGTCCGGAACAGCTTCCGACACATGCATATGATGGACGTGTGACCAGGAAAAAATTATTCCTTTCGAAACTTGTACTGGGATTAGGATGACGTGACGTTTTTATGCTCGTTGCTCGCCAGTTCCGTGCAGCCTGCGCTTGTGGTAGACGCGAGAACGGTGCTCGAGGGCTGATAATTTCTCCCCCAAACTCCCTCTAAGATCCCCGCGCACCACTTACCTGAGTCTCTCATTCGTGTATCTCAGTCCCGCACGCTCCTACAACCCGATCCCCCCGCATCCCCGGACGAAAACTCCAATAGCAGCTTCAACAATGAATGCAACATCTCCCTCGCACGACTGGTAAGCTATTCCCCGCGATCCCTCGTACGCATCAAAGCATCCTTTCCGACAGGATCGCGTTCCCATTCCATTTTTGAATCGCAGAGAAGAATACATGGAATCTAACCGCTCCATTGTGCTCTGGCTCGGATGTGATCGAAAAAAAAGCCGCTCCTAGAATCGATGTTCGCTCGTCTTATGCTTCCTACCGAGAGCTTTCCCGTCCCGTCGACCGTGTGCATGAATTCACCAGGCTTTCCTGTTCCACAGAAAGACAGCTACGTCACGATTGCTGAGAATGGACTGGGACGCAACGGCGCGTTTAAAGAGACCGCTGTCACTGGAGTCAGCCTTTCGTCCTTGGTAATGAATTTTGCGTCGACCGGACGATATTCGATACTCATGTCCCCTGACGCGGGCGGCGTACCGAGCCGACCCTGAGTGCAGACATTGACCCTAATATCAGAATTAACCTTCGAGGAGCCGCGGAAAATCACAGTCTGAGAAAGACTGTACATAGTTCGATGTTTCCTATTGGTCGAAATCTCGCGAAGATTTCCTAGAAACGCCGTGTACGGAATTCAGCTGAGATTCGGATGCATTCCGGGAGCGCCAGAGAGCAACGATTTTTCCTGGTGATTACCCTCTGAGCTTGTACACAGTACTCGGAAGCTTGAACTATGCTCATGGAGGCAGCGAAAGCAACTCCCGAGTTCTTTCAAAGCGTCGAGCGGTTAGGGTACCCTCGTAATTATACCCCTGCTCCCTTGCCTTCGGAGTCGCTTGGAACTCACATCATCTGCCCCGTGTAGAGGACCAATGTCATCGAGTCTAAGTTACCCCTGCCTCTCTCAGAAAATTTTTCGTTGCTCTCATGGGAGCTCCGTTAGTCCCTCCGATATTTCACATGGTCTTCCGGACCTAGGTCTTGAAACTCCGTGGAGTTGTCTCAGGGTATTGTGTCTCAAGTGAATCCTCCGCTCGCTGCCATGCTGATGGAGTAATCGGAAGCGTTATGTAGTCGCCGAGATTCCCCAACGTGAGCGACTTACCTTGAAATCGCTCTTTCGCCACGCGCTCGATCCGTGACGTTTCTCATAACATGTGACCAGTTGACGGCGGCGTCTGTGTTGTTTCATTGCCCACCCCTCCGATCAGTCCGACGCCGCCGTTACCATTCACAAATGCAGCTCGACAGTGAGGCGACTTGCTGCACAGGTGTCGGACTCTGGTGGCAGCGTAAGATTTCTCCTCCCAGCTCGACGTTCTCGGCCGTTTGCGCTCGTTTGATGCCGGGCTATGTTTCTCACCTTCCTCTTGGTTGTCGGCTGGCTGCGGAGACGACCGGCTGCGCGCAATAACAGTGATCCTATACTCGACCCACAGAAACAAAGTTACGTCCAAAACGCTTGCAACGGAGGAGGAGGAGGAACGCTTTCTTTGCCCCCGGAAAGGACGCTCCGTGCACGAGAAAATATCCCTTCAATAGACATTGGACGGCTCGTGAGTGTGCTCTCTATGTTTGCTGCTCGAGACGGAAATCCATATATGGGCTCTGGATTTGTTTCGCCTCGGGGAACTCCCCTATATTCGAAAGCTCCGTCGTTTTTATTATATGAATGTGCCGAACCCTCGCCGAATCCCGCCCCAAGCCTGCTTTACTAGCTCGACGTGATGATATATGAGCGATGTATGTACATGCCTGTTTTAACCCTGTTTTCCTTTCGTTTTTGCGTTCGGCCCGGTTTAGAAGAATGCGTACAATAGTTTGGGGCATTCCGAGATCATAAAGGCTCAATCCCCGGACGACTTAGTCCCTGTCAACATTAACGCTCTGGTGAGTATTGATTTCAAACTGCATTAGCACCGTGTCACGCGCTTCATTGATGCTCCGGAACTTACTCCCATTAACGAACTCTCAAAAGTTTGCATCGGGGTCCTGCGTTCTTCATCCATCGTATGCTATTCATTCCAAGTCCCACGGCACACGGCCAGGGCAAGCTGTTGATGAGCTCTGAAATTTTTCTTCGCACGCTGCTGTACAACACACCGAACATGGCCGCTGGGTCTTTCTCCGACTAAGAGAATCATTCTGAATTATTTCGACTCGACGAGATTCCGTTTGAGCGGTATAATTTCCCCGGAAGCTCCGACTTGACGAGACCTCGATGCACAAGTCGAGCTCCAGATCGCGGAATCGGAAGCTCTGAGGAGGAAAAGTGAGGAGAACAGATGTGCGAGCAATCACTGACAGATAGCTCTCGTCGGGAACCTTCTTGACTTCGTCCGCTCAAGGACCCGGAATCGAATAATGTTCCGCGGAACACTTGTTGGCTTCCTGAAGCGAGGTCTGACAACTTAGTCAGTCTATTTGAACAGTAGCTCCATTCAGCGGAACTTCACGCGTACTGCGGGACTCCTCGCCGGAGCCGGTATGCGATACGCGATCACGAGTATTTTCGAGTCTTTACGACGGATGACGCCATTGAGAAGAAATGCCCTGGCCGTCACACGCTGGAGACATTCTCTATCGAGACAATTTCGACTTTGTGGGAATATGGTGTTTTGAAAGACATTTCGTAGGCAGCTCTGGTATATTGGGGAAATTTTAAGTCGCGACCCTCGATTTAAACGACTTTAACAATGCCAATCCGTAACGTGCCCCCTCCAGCGGGCTCGGTTTCTCCGCCGTACAGAGAGCGAGGAGAGCCGGCGGCGACCACTCAGGAGGACTCTATCGGCAGGGCCTCGGATACTGCAGCTAGTAAGTGTAATCCGGGACCTAACTCCGGAGAAGGAACTGTATGGAGTTCCACATAGTCAGCCGCACCTGTCGAAGTCCACCGTGGTCGTTGGATGCACCGCCCCAAGGCGATACTTGTTCAGTGTGGTCTAACAGCAATCGTTGCTACCGTGGAAAATGGTGTCGGTCCTGCTAGTCTCAATCGAGTCCTGCCTATAGTTGACATGGGAGGTTCTTCTGATGTTAATATTCGGAGACAGCGCCATCCGACTGAATGCCTTCAGGGAAAATGTTCTTACCAATGATGTCTGTGGAGGAATTACTCTCTGATGCTCCCCGTTCCCCGGCTCCTCGCAGAAAAATCACCGGGAGCAGACAGAGATTGGAGATTATCTTCTCTTGGTGATACAAGTAATTTAAGACTTCACAGTCGGCGGCGCTGGGCGGGACAGTCTCCTCCCAGCCTCTCCCTTTGCGTGAAGGTCGTTTCGTGTGAACGGGAGGCGGATGATGACCTTGCGGAAAAGGCTGCGAATGGAAAAAAAACAACGCAGGCTAAGGGTAGAATGCAGTCCTGTGACCACGTTTTTGAGCTCTGAATACAAGCATCTGCAAAAAATTATTTCCTTTGGAGGATCGCGCTCCTCGAAGACGGCGCCGAGTCCCTAACCGACTCTTGTAACAATAGCGATTTTTTTTCGAGGACGTTTTCGGCAGCGACATTTCCGTCCGTGGGCGGTTCCGTCCGCCTCTCGAAGTTTTCCGAGATGCTCTGGAGCTGGTACCCGACTGATATTGACTCTGCGAAGAGCTCGTCTCGCTCCTCTCTTATGCGCTCCCGGTCGATGTCAGCGCGGCCTCTGTGTGCGCCTTCGCAAGCAGCGGCCGGCGTAGAAGTGGGAAATTCCGCAGATGGAAGAAACAAACAAAACTCCGTCACCCTTCCCGATGCTCTCCACACAGTTTCAAGAGCATCTCGCCCACTTCGTTGATTTGAACAAATGCTGAACGCTGTCCTTGTTCTGGAATTCACAAGCCGGTTTTGAAGATTGGATCGCTATGTCGCGGAGAAACTCCACAGAAAAGATCTATCAATGGAATAAAAAAAACGCGCGCAGGTTCCGTGGGGAATACCCCTCGGACGCTGCGGCATAAGGTATCGCCCGCCGCGTCTGGGCTTTGGATGAATAGAAGAGTATGCGTGAGCCGACAGGGGACGTCAACAAATCCTCACAGAGCTAGAGGCTTCGCTGCGTCGAACTTCGGGAGACATAGAGAATCGCCCCGGAGGCTACAGCCCGGTACAGAAGCTTATTCAATAGGAGTCTCCTCACCGAGAGGGTTGAAGGCGACCCAGGGGGCGTACGTCAAAAACGTCGAATTCAGCGTGGGACGTGGATGTCGAGGATTGCACTAGCTTGTCACATTGCACGCCGGCAGGTCTTGTGGTGGTTTGGCAAGAAGGACGGCAAGAGTAATAATTATTCGTAAATGTGTCCCCTGCTTGTTGAGGGCCGTCGGGGAATCGATGGGACAGTGCTCAGAGTCGACGAGCTCGATTCAATCGTCAAGAACCTCAAACATATGTCCAATCCAACATCGAACTAAACGGAGGACTATTCTTGCAGCGCGAGAACTTTTCCAGGCAGCAGAGTATCCATGCTGCTCGGGAGCCCTCGCCAGTTGAAGAGGTGAAATTGAGCGTAGACAAAAAGAAGGTCCAGAGCCAATTCAGCGTTGACGGCGGAGAAACGGACTCCAAATGCAAACGCTGCCAGAAGACCGTGTATCCCGCCGAAAGAGTCCGCGCCGAGAAGGCTCAATATCACAAGCAATGCTTCCGTTGCAAGGAATGCAGCAAAACTCTGAGGTGAGTCTAAATCCCGGTGAACACATTCGATTTCAAACGCGCCGCAATCCTCGCCTCGGGTTGGAACTCCTGCCGTCGGGGGGGATGATAGTCGGATCGTCCAGAGCTCAGAGGGTTGCCATATCAAGCCTCGAAGTTTACCTCGAACTTCTGACGGGCATCCCCCGTCTCGCATTACCTACCTACTCTTATTTTGGATGCAAAATTCTAACGGAATTCGTAAGCTTGAGCGAAATATAGCTACCGAGCTCCTCGCCTCCTCGTGGTCGTACATTCATCGTGTCGGACGAAAGAGTTGAAGAAAAATTCTCCGGATGAAAACAAATTTTTTTTTACGGCTCGACGCTTCCGTCCCTGTTGTGGCGGGAGTTTTTAGAATAAATAAGCTCAGGATCCAGGATTCGCCGGCTCGCACTGGCCGGTGCACTCTCGTGCTTTGTGAAAGGCTCCGACGCGGAACACGAGGATTCTTGCAACAAGCAATGAAGAGTTGTGCAATTTCGCGTAGCCCTTCAATTTTTCATGGTGCCCCTGGCCAAGAATAGAGGTCCGGAGACACACAAGACACGGGGGGGAGCTCTCGACGAACAGCTTGGAGATCTCCGTAAGGTCTCTCCGGGGGCGATCTCCGCTGCGTGAAATTCTGAGCGGCTACTCGTACCCGAACTTTCCCTCAACTCATGTCCACGAATGCGACTTCGGCTATGCGGCGAGATCAAGGTCCCCGAGGAATCGTTGGAATGTCCGGATCGCCCGTCCCTGGGATCGATTAGAACTGACCCTTAAGACGCCGGAGGGAGCGGAAACCAATCATCAGGTCAGCGTACGCCGCGCTCGTGATATCAGGATGCGATAGAATCTGATTTACATTCCGATCACGCTCCGAGGAATCACCACTCTATCGTAGGCTTCGTCGGAGTATGAGGCGAAGTTCGTCCATAATATTCTTTCCTGGCCTTCCTTCAAAGATTTTGAGCCAATGCGACAAGGCTCGAGCTCCGCAGAAAAAACCGCAAAGCTGTCCTCCAGGTCTGTGACAGGGGCGTTCGATCGGTTGAACGTCCCTCTCGTCTTCCCTGTGAAGACCATCTCGCGCAACGTTAGTATTCCGGTGCAGCCGAAGAGTCGAACACCACTCGAGCGGAGGAAAAATCATCTCTGGGATTGAGAATCCCAGCAGTGTGTGTACGCCAGAGCTCAAAGCTAGATTCTATCAGTGAGGAAAAGCGTTCTGAGCCACAAGAGGAGAAGGAACGCGCCTCGAAAGTTTACCAACAACTACATCACGTCCCGAGCGATCGAATGGAGGGAAAAACTTCGTAAAAACACTGACTGATTCGTCGAGGGGCTGCTCTTGCCAGAGAGACCTCTTCCTCCGGAAGTTTGCCTCCCCTCAGGAGTTCCCGGCGATGCAGGCAGCTCGCCGTAGGTTCCCCTGCCGCGGTTTCTGATCCGCCCGATCTGAGCGATTGAAAGACTGTGCAGCCGCGCGTCCACGCGTCAAAAAATGACGGTAACGTGCCCACGATAATGAAGGGGAAGGGGGGCCCTATGTCGGTTCAGGGTGTCTCGAGCCCCCGTCTGCCCCTCCGAACGATTTTCTCTTTTTTATCTCGGTTGTTGCCCATGGAAAGAGGATTTTCGCCTCATTCTCTGTCGACAGACCCATGGTGGGCGGTGGGCGAGCTGGAAGAGCTGTGTTAGACCGAGAGATCTCCCGACAGGCCGACTCATTCGTAAGCCCCTTCACCCGAGAATCTCTCCATTCCGGCTGCTTTTCCGTACTCTCTGTTCCTCTTCGTGGCATTAGACGATCCATGGACATTTCTTCACACTTTTGTTCCTCGGACGATGTCATGTAGCGTGGGGATGAAGTGAGATGTCTGAGCGAGTTGTCAGCTGGGTTGTCCGGGAAAAACGCTTGACGTGCCGAGGACAGCTGCGGAAGGAAATGGCACGATTCTTCCGCCTTGTTAACCCACTTTCGCCCTGACCCACACGAGTTCTTTATCGGAAAAGTCATCTGAGTCGCCCCTGAATCGCGGTCCGCCTATCGATACACGCTGCCCGCTACGAAGTTGCGAGAGGAGCTCCGCGTATGACCGACCGTTCCGGTCCTCGTCCATCATGAGTCCAACTGCTCTGAAAAAAGCTCTCCTCAAGCCGTCATGGTGACACGCAAGCCTAAACATCTGTCATTCTTCCAGCGCCGAATCGTACAACTCTCACGAGGGTGAGCTCTACTGCGCCAATCATTTCAAACAATTGTTCCAACCCAAGGTCAACTTCGAGCCGGATTCCGGACCAAGTAAGTTCTCGATGAGCCTCGTAGGGCCTCGACTGCCGTGTCAGTGTGTTTGTCGAACGTGTCAGCGAGGGTCTGTCGCAGCGGAAAACAGATGACCGAAGGGAGTGGATCGGAAGTATAACTGGACTCTTGAATGTAATTCATCCCGTTCTCGATTGATAATAATAATAATTATTATCATCATCATTTTTTTCGCTGCTACCACAGCAGCGGCGGGATAGTGGGCCGGAGCTCGTGATAGCATCCTCTGTGACCTCGGCTTCCCGAGCGCCCTCGGGAGTCGGAAGGGCCGAGGCGTCCCCGACAACGGCGGCGTCGTTGTAGCAGCAAAATTCTCGGTTTTGATTATTGATGTACTCGCACCCGGGCTTGTGATAGATTCTATCCGCTTGGGATTCAAGAAAAAAATCGTCGAGTCGAAAATGCAAGGCCGTACATTTCTGACCCGTCGGAGAATCGCCTCACGACGGGCAGCTGTCGTATCGGTTCCCATGTGCGCCGCTGGAACGGAATGCTTCTGCGTGCTATATCTTATGCGAGATGCATACTCAAGTCCGCAAAGGGTGACGTACGGGCCAATGCGAAAGCTCGCCTTCGAGGAAGGAGGTCCACGGTCAAGGTTCTCGCTGGAAATAACCTCTTCAATGGCTTCCTCGATGCTCTATTGTACGAGAATCGCATGGTGCAAAATGGTCGTTTGACCAAAGCAATATCCATTTGACTGGCTCCAGGACTCTAGTCAGGTTGAACAGCTTTTGTGGAGCGAGTGGAGGAATTGAGTTTGGCATTTGATTCCTCGGCAATCGGCCACTTTAAGGCAATGACCTCCCGCTTCTGAGAGATCAGTTCGGTGAGTGCTTCGATTGTGTCTGCCTTATCTCAGCTCTCCTCCTATCTCTGGAAGGGATATTGTCTCCGAGTTTCGAAGATGAGCTCCTTCACGCGGTACTCTATTTTCTACCACTCGTCGTGTCTGAAAAATTGAGTCTGGCCTCACTCAGACGAACACGAAGAATGCGTCGAGATGAGAGAGGATCTTTTTCCAATTCTCGCACGCAAATGATTCTAATTACGGATCTGGTATTCATGAGCCTCGGAATCTGGCTGCGCAGACCCTCGCTTTGACCGAGCACTTGGCGAAATAAGTAAATTCCTTGAACTCGTGGCTGAGCATCCCAGTCTGAGAAATTCCCCAAGGGAGAACCCGATCCCCATCCAAAAACGCTGAATAATCATATAATCCTTTCTCCTCCTGAATATTGATTCTTGCTGTGATTTCCGTAACAAACTCAACTAACGGAGTGTTTCGCTTCCTGCGTCCTTCTGCGATTCTCCCTCATTTCGCCGCTGCGAAGGTCAGGACTTGCTTTCAGGGAACGATGATCTCGACCATGACGGTAGGTGCATCGGGGTTTCGTGGACTTTCCCAGAGTGATAGGTACCACTAAAATTCGGGACGATTCCCAATACCCCGAATGATTACAGGGAAACAACGTAAGCACGAGATGATCATCCGCGAAAACGAGCCCATGCAGCTTTCTCCAGATGTTGTAAGATGTGAGTGAATAATTGAGCGTTTTCGTCCAACCTAGCATATGAGTCTTCCCGAATATTGGTCTCGTTATGACCGTGTTACGAAAGACCGAATTAGGTAAGTCGATTTGGATACGCCGATGCTGCGAACGGAATCGACCGATAGGCCTCGAGGGCGGGACCGGGACTACAACTACAGGGTGCGGACGGGACAGCGGCAGGGGACTCGAAATTCTACTGTGCCGACGCCGGAAGAGTAATTAACGGGACATCGCTGACGAGACGGACTTCCCGTCGGGCCGGACGCTATGCGGGGTTATCGATCAAAGCATCATAGAAAGACGGCGATTCGAGGGGAAAAGTCCTGGGGGACTGAGTTATTCCGATCGGCTCGTCAACACATCCTGCTGGCACGAAGACGGCAGCCAAAGATACAAGGATCGATTTTTCTCAGCCGGCAAAAAACTCTGCTATCTGCATGGAGTTCATTGCTGCTCGGACGTTCGACGGCACTGCAGAATTATCCAATAGAAGAAGCATCGGAAGCATCGAGATCGCACGTAGCTATCCGAAATCCCGCTTCAACGGAATTCAGCTTCGCAAGAACTTGGTCGGCTCCCAAGCTAGCTCCGAAGACTTTGGGGAATTTTCTTCCGGGAGCGCCGTCCGCTTCTAGCGCTAATGAATGCCTCGACGGCTATGGGAATCAGCGGAATCGGAGGAAAATCTACCTCGGCTTCGCGTTTTTTCTGCCTGCAACTATACTGCACAGAATAGATACCTACTCGCTCAGCTGTGCTATTATCCGTGCGTCGGCTGCTGCAAATTTCGATGAAACGAGAAAAACGTCGATATCAGCGACACCGAACGATGAACGCTGCGGGGTAGACGGCAAATGAGGACTAACGCTGGCGCTTTTGATTTTCCGCAACGGTGAGTCGATGGCTCGAGCGCGGGTCCGAGTCTCGCGGACAGTCGGTCGGAGCAAACACACGCATGCTCTCACCCGCTTACGGGCGAGTATCGAGCAGTACCTCGCCATCCATTATAGTCGCATTAGACGCGACTGAGCGGAGCTTGCTGAAGCCGGAAGCCTTCCGTGGAACACTTGCTTGTTCTGGGATGAAATCGACCTTTCGATGAAATTTATCCCGTTTGTAACGGTCCGAAAATCCGCCGGTCACTAGTCGCGGAGGTTTCGCATCATCCCCGAGAAACAACTTTTTGGACAAAACTGCGTCCGTAAGAGAGGAGCCTTTTTATGAGGGCACGTTTGCCGGTGCTGGGCAAACTCTGCGAGTTTCTCCACGGTGGGAGCCTCGAATGGGATTGCCAAAAACACCGGACCGGAATGGAAACGTGAGATCAATCGAGAAACTCGGTCCGAGATAATCTTGGTATCAGCTGGAAGTTTTGCGGAGAAGCAAAAGGTGTTGACCGGGAAACATGTCCTGCGGCGATCTCTGCGGAAAATGGATCATATCGCTCCCTCACGGCAGCTTTTTCGGCAAGAGACGACTTAGTAGGATCCTGAGATTTTCTTCTACGACGGTGCAGAAGGATACAGCCCGCGATGTTTTCAAAACGGGAAGCTTTTCGCTCTGATTGCGAATTTCAGCCGTCAAGTCTCCGTCATCCGCCTGCCGGTACTCGAGATTGAAGTACCGCACGAAAAATGTATTCCTCTCAATCGACGGCGTTCTCTCGAGCCGAGGATCTGCTGTCCGGTCACGAAGCACAGTCATGAATCATGTTCCAGGCGCGAAGGAAATTCTCATTGACCATATCTTTGGTAGCGTGCGGAGAGTGAAATTTCGTGACAATGGTCGCTTCCCGTTCCGAAAACTCATATCGCCCGGGGAGAACCAAACTCTAAGAGAAAGAGTCCTTCTCGCCGAGTGGCCGGCAATCCTGACGATCAGTCATTCAACCTCTTAATGAATCTGAATCATCCGTCGGATTGAATGCGTCGAAATGGCTGGGGGAGCCTCATTAAGTTTTGCAGAGACGGTCTCCGTGTGAAGAGGGAGCATTGTTCGAAATGTCTCACAGAAAGGGACCGAATCCGTGTCGATGGATCCGGCCTGTCTTGCCGTTCTTCAGTTAGCTCGCAGTGAGATGGCGGTGGCGTTGAGAATTCTGTTTTTCTTCTCGTGGACGTACCGCATCAACGAACGATATTCACGAAATCTTGGCGTTGTCGTAGCTGGCGGAAGATGTTCTCTGACAGCACCGATTAACCGACCCGACATGCTGGCTATACGGCGACGTAGCTCGCTCCAAAAATAAGCGAGAAGCGAACCGCGTCTGTCTCCTCGCTCGGAACGAGGTATGTCCCGTTTCTTCTGTCCGAGTTCTCCGTCGCCAAGTGGCCGACGAACGTAATAAGAAGAAGACAAGGGGAGTACGCGAACGATATGAGACAGCCACGGGAATCGTCGGAATGTCGCGGATGCCATTTTTCCGGACGAAAGGCATCCAGCGAGCGAACGCAGAGCCGTTCCGAGAGAAAGATGTGAAACCTTCCGGAAAAGCTCCGCTAGGCGCCGTCAGAAATTCCGGAAATCTCGATTGGGAATTTTCCTCTCGACGTGTTTTTTCGCCCTCCTTGCTGGAGTCCGGCAAGGCCAGGTCCGACGCCAAGGCCAGTCTGGGTGAAAGTGTACGCGTCCGACTTCTTTTTTATTTCCCTCAACGAGTTCCAACACTCATTCCGATACTCGGAGTATGAGGATACGGTCAGTTCGACCTGGAGCATTTGAGACTGCCACGAGTCCTATACGTTAATGTGACGCTCATGTGGAGGACATGGGGCGCATACGTCGAGAATCTCCTCTACGATGGCCTGCCTCGCTGAGCCAAGAATTGACGGATCGCCTCGATAGGGATTTCCCCGCTCTCTGACACAGGTTGGGAAACACCGTCCGAAAAAAAGTTACCTGGCGATACATATCGCATGTCGGTTGCTTTTCCCGCTCCGCTTGCCCTTTCACTCAAATAGTCCGATCGGATGGGGGAGCTATCGAGCCGTGATTTGCGGGCCAGAATGAAAAAATTACACTCCGGGAAACGACTGCTTGATAGATTTAATACAGAGCCGAAGATCATTCTCCGCTCTGCTTCTCCTGGCCCATAGATCAGCCCGTCTTCGGACTTCGGCTTGTTGACTCCGTTTCGCTACTGATCGGGTATTTGATGTCAAAAAAATCGTTCCAAAGGCCAACTCCTATCACCGACGGCCTGTCTGCTGGCCCGTTTTGATAACCCTACCAGAAATCACAACACTTGCCGGAAGAGTCAAGATGCCGACGACAGCTGACTTCAGGTTCCGCCCTTGAGGCTTGAAACATAGAATTCTCCTTCCGCTCAATTCATAGCCCTGCTCCACGTCTCGACGGTGTTTCGGGATCCACAAGGCCACACCGGCCATGGAAACGATGGGTGTCTGTGCCTTTCCCGCTAGGCTATGACAACTGATGCGGTAACACGAAGGAGTGACGGACTCGACGACAGGTCAAGTAGAAGACTCGGGTTCCGTCGATCCAGGGGCATCGGTCGCAATGTCAACGCTCGGAATCACGATCTGGAATTCCAGTAGCTTTGGGAAACGAAAATCCCGAGGGCGGACAAGCGGAAAGGGTGTCCGAATTTCCAATCCCAACAAAACGGAGCATCAGCGATTGGGTCTGTCAGTCCGTGGGGCGACGCCCGGACGACCTTTGGAGAGCAGTAGTCCTATAGGGCCTGAATTCCTTATTATGAAGATTTTCTCTCTGACGAATGACAGTAATGCTTTATGAAACATCCAGGGATGGTCGTCCTTTGGGTCGCAGACCCTTTCGTGGGTTTCGAATGTTCCGCTGTCGAATCCCCTCGAATATCAGAGTCGATTCACTCGCGCGCCCTCTCAACGCGAGCGGTAATTCAGTTTCCACATTCCAAAACGGGTCTACCGTCGGTCGGTCGGTCGGACGCCCGGGACCTATGCGAAAGGTCGTTGACTACTTTGTCGGGCACTGATGCTGTTCTGTTTGGAAAGACCCAGCGTTCGTTTGCCTCCGAAATAGGTTCAATCAAGCGATATTATTACAGACCGGTTGAAGATCCGTGCATGGAATCCGATATGACGAATAATGTGGCCCTCAGTGTCCGCGAGGTTTTCTCGATGCTCACGGTGGATTATCATGGATCTCGAGGGACTCTCCGGCAAGATTCTGACGAGGCGGTTCAGTTAGGTATCAGCTAACTGAAGGGTAATCCGCATCCTCCTTTGCGTACTCCAGCGCTCGGAACGTATGTGGCGCGTTCCCCCATGATTCGATCGCTACAGATCGGACAAAACAGAAAATGTGTAGAATGTAGCGAATGAGTAGGCCATCGGATAGTTTTTTCAATCGGTCGAATCTGGCGATCAGAAGATGTCATCGGTCAGCGTCCCCCGCTTGGATCGGGGATCTTTTCGCATTTTTTTTCCGCTCCGCGGCTGTGACTTGGCGGGAAACGGATCTGTTACTTCATTCGAGGGAACCAACTCGCTGGAAATTCCCCGACCACCAGAGGGGGATAATAAGACTCATTGAGAGTAGCAGTAGTCCTTCTCTCAGAGCGCATTCGTTCTGCAGCCTCTAAACGACGATGGAATCGAAGCGACGAACGTTGCGGCCCAGGACCAGGTGGTCCCCAAGCAACGTCGCCGCTACTGGTCCCTTTCCGATAACTCTTTCTGAGAGCTTTCTGATTCAACGTTGGCTCCAACACCGCGTGCTGCTGTTGCTCCAGCGGATGCCGTTGCCAGTCGTTCGAGCGCTTCGCGCCTCCTCACACGTTGCCATCAGCTACTCGTTAGCTGCGGTGCGCGCTTTCGTCAGTGAGGAAGATAGCTTCGAATAGACGGTCGGCCGCTTGCTCGGTTCATCGGTCACTCGAGCAGTCAGTCAGTCAGTCAGTCAGTTGAACAGCCGGACGGACGGATAGACTTACTTTAGGCCAACGGATAGACAGATAATCGGCCCACAAGTCGATCA